AACAGTGAAACAAGTAAATGAAAGGCAGCTAGAAAAGATAAACACATAAAATCCGCCCCTCGGGCGCAATGTCAACAGAGCTCAGCCCCTCGGGCAATAACATGGAACAACACTAGCCCTCTCGGGCTATATCTCATATCACAATGGGTACCCGCACTCACTGGGGGTGTACAGACTTCGGGAGGGGCCCCTTACGGTCCAAGCGCAATATCAAGCCATCTCGTGGCATAATCAATAGGCTCTCGACCTCATATCAAGCCACCTCGTGGCGTACAACTCAGGCCCTCGACCTCATAATCATAATCAGTACAATACTGTTGCGGCGTGCAGCCCGATCCCATAATAATCCTCACAACACAGGCCCTTGGCCCTACTCAGTCAAATATCTCTAAAAGCCACTCGGGCACAGTAAAATATGATGTTTAGCCCAAAATATCATTTAAAGTGTTAAAATAGAGTAAACATGGTTGAGTTATGAAAACAGTATAATATAGCATGACTGAGTACAGATATAAAATCAAAACAGTGAGGAAATAGCAATAAAAATCCCCTAAGAGTCCAAATAGGTGGCACGAGGCCCAAATATGGCATTCAGCCCCAGAAATGATGATAACAAATAGTTTTCAATCAAATACGCGGTAAAACAGTCATTCGGGATGGACTAAGTCACAATCCCCAATGGTGCACGACCCACGCTCGTCATCTAGCGTGTGCGTCACCTCAATATAGCACAACGATGTGAAATCCGGGGTTTCATACCCTCAGGACAATATTTACAATCATTACTCAGCTCTTTCCGGTCCAAACTCTAGCCCGCGATGCCTTTGCCTCTCGAATCGGCCTCCGGATGCTCCAAATCTAACCAAAATCAGTGCAAAACCATCAAAATATGCTAAGGGAACAAAGCCCACTCGAAAGAAATCAAATTACAACACAAATCCCGAAATTGGCGAAACCCGACCCCCGGGCCCACGTCTCGAATTCTGATAAAAATTACATCAATAGACTCCTTATCACTCCCCGAGTTCATTCATATCAAAAGCACCAAAATCCAACCACAAACAACCCCTCAAATCCCAAATTATAGGTCTCCAATTGCAAGCCTTAGTTTTTCAATATTAGGATTAAATTCCATAATTAATTAGGTATAAAACACATTAGGATTGAGTATTATCCATAAATCTTACCTCCAAGTGTTCCTCTTTGATTCCCTCTTCCATCACCTTCAAAAAGTTTCAAAATCGCCCAAAAAATGGAGGAACCTATGCTCTAAATCGCGGAAATGAGCTTTTAAAACATTGTGCCCATACATTTAAATCCTTCTTCGCGAACGCGGTTAAAGCCTCGCGTTCGCGAAGCACAACCTGACGTTGACCAATTTTTCCTTCATCGCGATCATGACTCCCAGTACGCAAACGCGAAGGCTTAGCTTCCTTACTCACCGCGAACGCAACTCCCCATCCGCGAACGCGAATAACAAACCAACCTGGACCCAGCTGCTCACCTTTCCTCTACGCGAACGCGACTAATCCCTCGCGAACGCGATGATCATTGGCCTCGACCCTTCGTGATCGCGGGACAACCTTCGCGAACACGAAGTCCAATCTCACAGCCACCCATCCTAGCCCTTCGTGAACGCGAGGGCCCACTCGCGAACGCGAAGGCCAATTGTCTGCAACACCCAACAGCTGATTTCTGCAATTCTCTACAACTTGAAATGATAAGTTTAACCACCCGAAACTCACCCGAGGCCCTCGGGACCTCAACCAAACATGCCAACATATCCCATAACATCATTCAAACTTGTTCCAACCTTCGGAACGCTCAAAACAACATCGAAACACCAAATTCGCATCGGATTCAAGCCTAAGAATTCCAAAATCTTCTAAATTCCGCTTTCGATCAAAAAGTCTATCAAACCACGTCCAAATGACCTGAAATTTCGCACACACATCCCAAATGACACAATGGACCTACTACAACTCCTGTAACTCCATTCCGACCCCTATATCAAAATTTCACCTATCAACCGGAAAATGCCAAAATTCCAATTTCGCCAATTCAAGTCTAAATCTACTCGAGACCTCCAAAACACATTTCGATAACGCTCCTAAGTCCCTAATCACCTCCCGAAGCTATCCGAACCATCGAAACTCACATCCGAGCCCTTTAACACATAAGTCAACATCCGGTTGACTTTTCCAACTTAAGCTTCCTCAAAAAGAGACTATGTGTCTCAAACCTTACCAAAACCTTTCCAACCCGAGCCAACCAACCCGATCACACCTAGTACCGATAAACAAAGCAATAAGAAGCAAAAATGGGAGAAACGGAGCGGTAACTCATGAAACAACCAGCCGGGTCGTTACAACGGGAATGGAGCTGGCGGTCCTTAAGAAAGTCCCATATATCGTCTATTCTCCTAGAACTTAAAGTCTGGGCCAATAACTGCCCCTCCCATATGTAGGAAGACCTATGCTCGGCCTGTAGCTGTAGTAGCTCTAGGGAGGCAGGTCCCGGATGCATAGGAAGAACCTCCATGACGACTACTGTAAATTGAACAAAATTAATTGCATTATTTTTCTTTCCACTGCTTAAATATATTATAATAACTTGAATATTAAATTTTATTCGATATTTTTACTATATTTTTTAGTAGGTTGATACATTTTCAATATTATAATTTTATATTTTATATGTTACTTTAATATGTTAGTTTTATTATTTATATGTTTGTTAGGTATTCACCTATTTTTTACTATACATAATTTAATTATTAATTATTTATATTTTGGTTTCGTACACAATATTTGAGGCCCAGTAGCACCAATGTATCCTGAATTCTTATGTTCATGATGAAATTTTTTTTCTGATTTTCTACTCAACAGGCCTGTTAGTTTATTATTGTATGTGTTAGTTTTATTATTTAATATGTTAGTTTTATTATTTAACATATTAGTTTTATTATTTTATATGTTTGTTTGTTTTTTACTGACTTATTCTTTACTATATTAAAATTAAATAATCAATTTTTATAACTATACAAGATTTAATTATTAAATATTCACATTTTGGTTCTGGACAAATATTTGAGGCCGAGTAGCACCAATGTATTCTAAATTCTTATGTTCTTACATTTGTTGACTATAACTGGAGATAGTTTGTGTTTGAACTATCAGCTTTTTGACGTATATTTGGGAATAAGAGATACTTAAATGATTAATTTCTATAATTACAAGGATACAACGCTAAAGGGCACTACATTTTACTATGCTAAAAGGTCACTACATTAAAAATACGAGCACTATATTAGGCCACAAGATACCACTACAGGGAACTAAAGTAATAATTTATCTAGTTTACTAGTCTTTTAGCAAGTAAATAATCTAAACTGGATAAAAATAACAAATCAACTTAATCACAAAAAAATTACGAAATTACATATACCACAGTAAAAAGTAACTAATTAATATTTTTTTTAACAACTAATAACAATTTCTCTATTTTACGAATTTTTTTAGCACAATAATACTATAGTCCAGACAAAACATAATAAATTAGTTAAATAGCAAAACAATCACAAAATAACATAGAGCACATAAAAAATAACTAATATGTATTTTTTATACATGTTTTAACAAAAACTAAGTCGGAATACCTCGATTTAATATTTTTGAAAAGTCGAAGATTTTGTGATTTGGAGCCGAAACAAGTAACAATGTCCGAGATAACGCCTTAGCTAGCACCTGGGACCAAGAATCTTTACTTTTGGTGGGACGGGTGGCCTCCACTCAAGCTTTTTTTGATTAAAATG